ATGGGTTTGAATATCAAGACTACAAAGCATCACAACAATCAGCAGAAACAACACAAGATTCAGCCTATCCTGGAAAGAATTAGAAAACTGTCAAAAAATTTCTCGAAGAAACGAAAAATCACATGCTAATAAACATTTTTTTCGATGCAACGACAAAGTTTAAATACTCAGTTAGATCAATAACAGAAATCTTAAACGAATTTGCCGATGAACAATAATCAATGACACATATTGTTTTTTTTTTAAATATCTTGCTTATTATTATTATTATTATTTGCTATTTATGAAACCCGTTTCGAAATGCCTTATTTTATTTTATGTAATGAAATATTTGCTGGACGAGCAACATGAACGAAAAATTTTGAATAAAATTGTCCATCTATGCAACCGATATAATAATAATAATAATAAAGGTCTTTATTGTTTTCATTACAGCATTTTACAAAATTAATATTACTAATAGTTTATTAAAGAAAACAAAAGGCGAAGTTCACTTTCCAAAGTTTAAAAAAAACACTTGGAAAATGTTCTTCCACTTAACCCAATGATGGTGTTTATATACATATGTAAATACGAGTAGGTATATGAACTAAATCTAAACATATTGAAAAATCAAAATAAAAACAAAAAACTATATCTTTATATTTTTATATTTTAGAGGGGACAGGTAGAACAATTACGATTTAAGTGCATTGCTTGCTAAATAACAAGGTTTTGTATTTACATTTGAAAGGAAGAGGGTTAAGATTTTTAAATATAATAGGAACAGAATTATACAATTGAAAAATTTGATATGAAAACGAACGTCTAAATAGTTCGGATCTAAATTGAGGTGGTGATAGTAGACCTTTGAATCTTAAATTTAAGTTGTGATCATCTGTCCTAAAGGATATTTTTTTGTAAAGATAAATGGGGATTTTATACAAGACAATTTTGTGGTATAGCGTAGTTGCATGATGAATTCGTCGGTTTTCCATATTTAGCCAACCGATTTCTTTGAGTTTATGTGATATCCTTTGATATTTTCTTATACCGTATATGAGTCTTAAGCAACTGTTTTGTATTTTTTGTATTTTTTTTTTGAAGGTTACTGTTAAATTTGGACCATAGACAGAATCAGCAAAATTAAAATTTGATAGTACAAGTGATTCACATAGTGATATTTTAATACTTTTAGGCAACAACTTACGATTACCGTATATCAATTTTAATGAGCTATAAGCTCTCTGAATCAATTTAGTGATGTGTTTTTCAAACCTTAATTCAGAATCAATTAAAACTCCTAAGTTTTTAGCTTCATTTACTATGGTTAGTCTATCATTATTAATTTCAATACCTAATTCTTCAATAATTTTGTCACGATTACGACTTGATCCAAACAACATCACATTAGATTTTGAAGCATTAATTAGTAAACAGTGCTCAGTTGCTGATCCAACAAAAGAATTCAAATCACGATTAATTATCTCACACGCATTTTGTGATAGATCTGGAGGGAAACTGTAATAAATCTGAGTGTCATCGGCATATAGGTGAATTTTACAGTTTTCTAAAGAATTAATAAGGTTCGAAGTGTATATTGAAAAAAGCAGAGGGCCTAAAATGGAACCTTGGGGTACGCCCGAGTGAAGATTTAAAAATTCTGATTTATGTTCATCGATTTTAACACATTGTTTGCGATTTTCCAAAAAATCTTTAATGAATAATATAGCGTTGTCAGCAAAACCTATATAATGCAAGATGCTTAATAATAAATTATGATTTATCGTATCGAAAGCTCTACTAAAATCTAATAGAGTTAAGATAGTACAATGCCCTTTGTCAGTTGCAGTAATGATATCATCTAATATTTCCAGAAGTGCTGTTGTACAGCTATACCCTCTGCGAAAACCTGATTGAACAGGGGGCAACAATGAGTTATTTGATAAATGTTCTGTTATTTGCTTTTCCACTGCTTTTTCTAAAATTTTGGATAGCATTGGTAAAATGCTGATCCCCCTAAGGTCTTTATACTCAGTTGGGTTTTGTTTTTTGGGTATCACTTTTACAATTGCTTTTTTCCAGACAGTAGGCACAACATTGTTTAAAAGGCAAAAATTGATAATATGCGTAATGTATGGAACAATATGCGGACAGCATAATTTAACAAACTTACTGTTCAAATGATCACAGCCTATCGCATTTGATTTCATTTTGCAAATACTGGTAAATATAAATGTTTCGTCAACTTCTCTGAATTTAAATGTACAAGGTACAACATTATTAGTATTATAAAAGTTTAATAACTTCTGGGGCGGAATAATATTTGAAATTGAGTTCACTAAAAAATTATTAATGTGGTTAGGATTTTTTAAATTTTCGGGAATATCTTGATTTTTATTTTTGACAAAATTATTAGATTTTAAAGTGTGCCATATTTCTTTATTAGTACACTTACTAAATTGATGTAAGAAGTAAGCTCTTTTTTTCTCTTTTTATAGCTTGATTTGTGTAATTTTTAAGGTTTTTATAAAATTGTAAGTGACCTTCCAATTTTGTTCGTTTATATTTTTTTAATGCCTTGTCACTTTCATTCATCATTTGCCTTATAGTGAAAGTTAGCCATGGAGCTAACTAAGGGAGCATGTCTATCAAGTATAGAAACTAGACAATTTACAAGATATGACACCTTTTCATCGACAGTATCTTGATCAAAAATGCGAAAAAATGATGTACTTGTTAAATCATTTTGAAATTTATCTTCATCAAAATTTTTAAAAGATCTGTAGGTATACATTTTAGGTTCCTTTTGTTCTTTAACATTAATTTTACAAAAAATTAAGGAGTGATCCGAGATTGTATGATGAATGATACCCTTATCCACCAAGTTTTCCCTCCTATCTATAGCATAGTCAAGTAAAGTCGAAGAAGACTTAGTTACTCTTGTTGGAACATCAATAACTTGCGCTAGGTCGAAAGATTCTAGAATTTCATTAAATTTGTGAAACGAAGCATTTTTATTAAAAAAATTCATATTAAGATCTCCTAAACAAACTGCTTCATCAACTGTTAAAAAAATAGACGCCAAAGTATCCTCGAACTCCTCTAAAAAGTCAAATGAATTCTGTGCATGAGGCTTATAAACTACCCCTACAGCTAAATTCTTTTTATTTAGAGTTAACCTTATCCACATTTGTTCCCATAAATAGCCCTCATTTTTTATTATAAGTTCACAAACATATTTATTTTTGACATAGATACATAAACCCCTTCCTCTTGCATTTCTATCTCCACGATATAATGTATAACCCTTAACATTTAAATCATCATTACTAACATAGCTATGCAGCCATGTTTCACATATTAAAACAACCTCAAATGAATGTTCATCCAATAAATTTTTAAAATTTTGTAGCGATGGTAATAAAGACCGAGCATTTAAACAAGCTATATTAAAATAATCCATATGTTTCGACTCAAAAAAAAAAAAAAAAAAGTTCAACTCTCCTCTCTAAAGCGATTCAGAATAATAATATAAAATCCTATTGCTAAATAATAAAATAAATACTAAGCTGAGAATATCGATTTCTGATAAGCAAGTCCAAAAACTAGTTAGAAATGGGAGCAACTAACTGCACAAATGTAGTTTTATTTAAACCGAACTCTTTTGTGCTAACTTAAAATCTATTATTTGAAGGAACTAAACAAATATTTGATCATTAATTTAAACAATATAAAACAATATAATTTGATAAATTTTAGAGATTAGGCAGATACAATTTAATTTTAGAATTTAATAATTAAGAGAATAACATCACTTTTTTTTAAATTGTCAACATCCTTCAATTCACTGATTTTGATAACATCTTTGCTTCCGTTAAATTTAACGAAGATGTTTCCTTTATTTGTCCATACTAAACCATTCTCGCTAACTTTCCTTATTGCAGCTTTGAGTACCTTTAATGTTTCAATTGACAAATCTTCTCTCATCACTATATTAGTTCCTTTTAAGTGCTTCTTGAAATTGAACAAAAATTGGGCGAATATTATTTTTATCATTGATTTTTATGCGGTAACAACTGTCAATATTACCTACATCGAGAGTAATATTCAGTTTAGATTTAATTAATTCTAAAACAGTAACTTCACAGTTTTCATGCTCAGATTCGGGTACTCCATAAAGTAAAACATTCTTTTGTCTCCTAAATTGGTCACAAATATTATATTTATCTTCTAAAACTTTAATTTTATTAATTTGTTCATGGAGCTGAGATTTAAGACCGTTATTTTCTTGTTTTAGAAAAAATATTTCTTTGTCATATTTCTTTGAAATTATTTCAGTTATAGCATCGGCAAGTTGGAGGACAAATTCTTCAGACGTTACAAGTTTATTTATTAAATTTTTAATCGACGAGTGCAGTTCGTCCTCGACTTTATCAGTTCTAGTTTTGGGCATTTTGAAAAAACAAACGTAACTTACAGCTTATTCGTAATTCCTTAACTTGAAAAATTCACAAAAATCAAATCAATGACACTGACTTGTGTTACTCACTAATTTACAATATTTTGCTCTAAATGGTTCAAGATTTATTAACTATTTACGCAGAGCAGTGCAAAACACGTCTATTCTGTACGACACATAGACACCATAACATGACACATAGACACCATAACATGCATTGTTAGTTGCATAACTTTAAAATAAATAAATCTTAACGTGCTAGAGATCCTACTTCTGAAATTTAATAAACTTGGCAGAGGGTTGAAAATAAAAGTCCCACAAATTATATATCCTCTAAGGATTATTTAAATAAATCAGGATTTACTTTTGAATTAGTTTTATTGTATCAGCAACACAATGGGCTGCCTAAAGAACAATCTCAGATAAAAAAATGTTTATTTGTTTATCTGAGAGAACAATGAATAATAAAAATGTCAACTGTCATATGTAGTACCAACTTAAAATATTAGTTAGGAATTTTATAGAGGTTCTAACAAAAGTGAATGGAGTATATACTTACTGTCCAGGATTTCTTTCAGCACTAATCGAAGACAAGCAACTAATAGAATAACCCGTACATTCCCTACAAACGGTACAAATCATACACATATCATCGTGCCACGAATGCATGCCTGGTGGACAAATATTATGCGATTCTCCCATGTTGAGATCTGATACACTCGGAATATCACCATCTTTTTGATTTTCGGATTGGATTTCGTCGATTAAATCTTGTTCTTCTTGGACCCCACAAGTATCCATAGCAACAACGTTGGATGAACTTTCTGAAAGGAATAACTTGTATATTATGCTATTAAAAATGAAATCTACAAACCTTCTTTAGATAAATTAAATTCTCGACCGCATTGAAACTTATTGTTAATGCCAAATGTAAAAATGTGGCCTTTAATAGTAAGCACAACAGCATGCGCTTTACCCAATGAAACCTGCGTTATAAACTCCCCTTTTAGAAGGCCTACGATCCCGGTCACAGGATCGGCGTGAGTTGTATCCTTGCCGAACATAAGAAGTTCTCCTTCTTTGTTGATTAAAGCAGTAGTGCCATTATTGCAAGCAACAAATATAATATGCTGTCCATCTACTTTGATCATTTTCTTTGGTTTTACGGGTTTTGGCTGACGGCGAATTTTGTTCTGATCGCCGTCTTCACCTCTACGAGCAGTGCCTGTAAATATCCACAAAATGAACAATGAAAATCTTTCATATTAGAGAATCGTTGATATTTCTAGTTGTAGAACTATTGTTATAATGATTTTATTATATTATTCTGAAATCGTAAACTAACCTGTAAAAAATACTGATCCATCTTCTGTTAAAAGTATTGCGTGAAGACCATCATGGCCGATAGCGATTTGATTTACTTTTGGTGCTTTAGTAATAATTAGTTCTGTCCATTTTCCAGTTCTTACACCAGCTTGTTTAATGCCGAGAGCTGATGACTTACCGCAATATAACACCTAAATAATAAAATAAAATGTAAATAATAATAATATTAATCATATATAAAAATAGTTTTAAACACATTAGCGAAAATATACTGGACCATAAAGATAAATAACAAAAACTAACTGAAATTACTATAATCTTCCAAAAGGTGCCACTAAAGACATATAATTTAGTCCTAAAGGTTTAATGTCAGTTATTACAATGTTTGGTTGTTAATGTGCTTTAAACAATAATTTTAAAAAATATTACCTTTCCTGATACCGTTTTGATCAATCCAAATTCCTTTCCTGTGCAAATAGTGGCAATTTCTTCTTCGTTACCAGTATTTACTGTATAAGTACCATTTTCTTCATCAAATGAAGAAACTCCGAAGGCATCTACACATTTTCTGGCTAATTTTAGCGGCAATTCGCTCACTAGAGCTGCTGGCGAAATGTTTTGGTTCAGCATTCTAACAACGAAACCATCATCTTTAGCTGTAGAAATGACTCCCAGATAGTCGCCATCGGAAAATACAACCGTTGCAGATGAATCTCGATTATGTAGTGGAACTGAACCGCATATTAAAAGATTTGATCTTTCAACTATTAAGAATTCTCCTCCTCTTCTACCGCACAATTTTAAATATAAATGCCCCTAAAATTATAAAAATGAATATACCATATTGTTTGTACAAGTGTAGTTACTTTTCAATGTTAAACATTGAATATGAGGAGTAGAAATAAGATTTTACTAAGAAAATACAAATTCCAATTAAAAATTTGCTAAATTCAGAATTTGGTAAGAATTGCTTGATATTAAAACTCAACAAAAAAAATATAGTAACTCAAAATAACCTCCCATATGAAACCATAGACAATAACAAAAGTCACTCAAAATTTTCAAAGAATTAGAATGGGATGATGTTCTTGTACAAAATGATATTAATGTAAGTACTAACATATTTGTAGATAAACTTATAAGTTTTGTAAAATGTACTAAAAGGAAATATTTTAATGATAAAAATAAAAGATTAAAACCATGGATCACAGGTGACCTCTTAAATTCAATTCGAAACAAAGATAAATTAAAAAAAAAAACAATGTACTCTTAATAGAAATAACATAACTTTTAAATAAATACAAAGAATATAGAAAAACACTTTCTAATCTAATCAAAAAAGCTAAATATACCAATTATAAAAATCTAACATTAAAACATGCGAATGATCCCAAAAAATGTGGAAAGTAATTAAAAATGAAAACGAAATTAAAATCATCATGAACAGTAATAATGAAGAAATCTTTGACAAGATATAGCCAATGAATTCAACATTTATTTTAATAAAATTGGTAAATCATTAGCCAAAAAAATAGTACATTGCGATATTGAGAACAAGGTTAAATCAACTCGGAACTCTTTCTATTTCACTCCAAAATCTGACAATGAACTCATATTACAAATAAACACCCTGAAAAATAATGTAAAAGGTGGCCAGGATAATATTAGTGCTAATATAATTAAAAATGCCCATGCTCATTTGTTGAGTCCATTAAAACATTATAAATAACGTCTTTAGCTCAGGAATCTTCCCTGATAAGACTTAAAAGCGCCATATTTGTTCCATTACACAAACAAGGTGATAAAAAAATCACAAATCATTATAGACCTATTGCACAGCTTATATAATACAGCTAAAACACTCTCTTGGCGGCAACGGTTTGCGTCGATTTCGTTGCGCATCGCTTAAGCTCCGCCTTCGAAGGGAAAAGACGCTTTTGGCGTTCAGAAACGTACTTAGGTAAGGTGTTTCGTGGAGCCTATAATTTCGTTGATTTTGTTTGAGTTAAAGGTACTGTTATTATTTTGGTGACTCTTTAGCTGTGAGTAGAATGAGTGAAAAAAAAGACATCATTCTGTTTGTGCAGTCAAAAGCTGTTTCAATAAGGGTTATACCTACAAGAAAACATTCTTTAGTTTTCCCAAGGACCCAAACCATTCGAGATCCAGCAACTGTACGAGACGGTACTGTGTGACGAGCGGACTAGAACAGCCGAAGCAAAATCAGAAGCGTTGCGGAAGTCACTGCGAAAGCACACTCCCGCTGAAGCACCTGAAGCAGAAGCACCCTAGGTCATATTTAGTATTTTTATTTAGTATTTTTGAAATTTCTTTTCAGAAATTTTAATTAGAAAAATAATTAGAAAAATATTTCCAAAGAAGAGTTCCTAAATAACGAACAAACCAAAAAGCCCTACTTCGAAAAATTCTTTTTAGAGTTTTTCTTAAATAAAGGCTAATTTTCGAATAAGATTTGGTATACTAACCCCATTTTTTACAGGTTAATAGCCCAATTTTGGAAAATTTCTTTTTAGAAATTTTCCTTAAAAAAGGTTATTATTCGCATTGCGAATTATTCGAATAGATTGATCTGTCATCATTTAAATAAACGACTTCTAATCCATTTCTTTCAGCTTGGGACTACCAGACGACTTCAAGACACAGGACCTAAAAAGTGTAAGCATAAATAAACTAACAAACGTCATCCGACTAGGGTCAAGCCACCATTGCCGGGGTTAATAGCCCTTGAGTTGTGAGGTTGCAACTCACTAGTCGGATTAGGGACTCCCAAATTACTAACAAACCCAGCGAATTCCCCCAACAAACCTTCGTCACCACCATGGTGGTGACAAGAAAAAATTCCTACGCCGGATCTGCTGCTTCTGCCCCGCAGCAATTCGGTCAAGGCCCTAATTCTATGGCTACTATCTCATCCCCTGCCTCAAGCCATAGAAGTTCAATCTCTATTCCTTCACTCATGGACCAAACTATCACCAAACCCTCAAACATCTTTCAAAATCTCCGCGAAAACTCCCCTCTAAAAACCCAACAACCCGCCCCTAACCCTACACTACCCAACAACCCCCCTAACAACCCCCCTAACAGACCCCTCCGCCCCACTCAAACACTCTTCGTTCTCAGGAACATCCCCGCCGCCTACTCCACCCAAAAAGCCCTATTCAACATATTGAATACCCAGGAACTATTCCGTTCCAACCTTGTTTTTGTTAAAGCCAACTTTAACAAAACGGCCCTAATTAAAACCACCTCTCCCAAAACCCCCACCGAGCTCCAGACCCTCATAAGGCAGCGAATGGGGGATAATAAAATCATCCTCAACCCTAAATACGCCCAAAACCCCCCAGAAAAAATCATCCGATCCCCCCCTGCCCCCCAATTCTCCCTAGTCATCCGCCAGGTTGACAAAAACATTTCACTAGAAGAAATCCAGGCGGTTCTCGAGGACCTTGACTTCCCATATACGAAAGTATGGAGGATAAGGTCCCAGAAAACCCTCGAATTCACTTCATTCATCAGGGTGTTGACTCCTTCAGAGTCTCACTATTCCTACTTGATCCGTGAGGGCTTCGGCATCTTCGGACGAAGACACCCAGTCGAACCCTCAAACCAAAACCCCCTGCCTCCCATTCCCAAATATTGCACTCAGTGCACCGGCCTTGGTCATTCGGCCTCAGAATGTTCCAAAAAACCCGCCTGTCCCAACGACGGGCAGCACCATAGGCCAGCTGACTGTAAAAAGTCAGAGGTGCCAAAATGCCCTAACTGCCGCGGCAACCACCCCGCATATTCTATTACATGCCCTGAAAGACAAAAACCCCCCCAGAAACCTGAACAGGTTGCTCCCGTCTCCCTCCCAACATCCACCCCCCCCCAAGAGCTAACATCAGAGCTCAAAATATCTATCCAAATATTCTCTACTCTTCTGATGAACCTCCTCCCAAATAGTAGAGAAATTCTCACAAAAATCTTGGGAACGCTAATCCCGGCCATATTCGGCCATTCATGCACCGTAACAGGTCATGGAAATTTAGCAATTTTCACATACTCCCCGATAAACCCTGACCTTTAATGGATTGTCTTATCGGCACAATTAACTGCAATGGCCTCGCTCGGAAGAGGCCATTAATCAAAAACCTCCTAAATTCTGAAAACCTACAAATATTGTCTCTTACTGACACTAAGTCAAAACTTCCCCCCAGCTTCACTGGGTATCAAACTGTACATTTAAATAAATCCCAAAACTCTTTTGGGAATGCACTATTAATCAAAAATTCAATTCCATTCAACTCTCACACTTTTCCAGCTCATCTAGCTGATCTTGATATAATAGCAATAGACCTCCCGATAGACAATCCATTAACTATAATCTCGTACTATAACCGCCCCGGCCAAATCATCTCCCTACCACTGATAGAATACCTATCTTCCCTCCCTCGAGCCGTTTTGCTTGGAGATTTGAACTCCAGACATACCATGTTCGGAGATCACGCCTCTAACCCAAACGGAATCCGACTAGCTAATCTGCTTATAGACTTCCCCATATTCAGAGCCTCAAACCGACTTCCCACCTTCGTATCCCACCAGGGATCATCTATCATTGACCACATCCTCCTGACAGACTCCTGTACTGGACTGGTTGCTGATAGATGCTTCATAGGTGTTACGATCACCTCCGATCACCTTCCTCTGATGTTACACACATCCCTACTTGCTCCAATCCCCCCCAGAGCTACCATTCACACCTTCCGCAACCTCAAAAAAGCAGATTGGCCCCTATTTCAGAGAACTATCTCTACTAACATCCCTGAGCAACGCCCGCTCAACTCCCCACAGGACATCGACACTATAATCGATGAAGTCCAAACATCCATCACCCACGCCGTCGAATCATCCACCCCTATCACTTCAATAAACACAGCCCAAAAAGCCCTCCCCCAATTCATCCTCGCTCTCATCTCCCAAAAACGACGCCTGTATAGACAATACGTCCGTACACACGACCCTGTCATCAAAACAGAATGGAACCGTCTCAACGCCCTGATCAGGCTCCAAATCAACCTGCACAAACAGCAACAATGGATCAATACCACATCTAATTTGGATCATAGAGACGGCTCCAAGTTTTGGGACAAATTCCGGATAATCACGGGTCAAAAATCCAAAACCCACTCCCACCTCCTAATCGACGGTCAAATCCACTCCACCCCCGACGAGAAAGCCCTGGCCCATAAAACCCACCTCGAAGCCACATTCAGAACCCCCGACAACCCCCACTTTGACGAACAATTCAAAATCGAGACCGAACATCACGTCCTTCAGACACTTGCCGCCCCACTCCCCCCTTTGGATGTCGAAAACCCCCTCACCGCCCCATTCACCCCCCTAGACATCCAATACGCCTGCCAAGCAGGCAAAAACACGGCCTCCGGGCCTGACTCCATCCACAGGAGAACTCTGAAACATCTCCCTGAAACCATATTTCCTATTCTCACTCTTATCCTAAACTCCTGCCTCTCCTTATCCTATTTTCCACTTGCCTGGAAATCCGCAAACACCATTTTGATCCCCAAACCAGGCAAGGACCCCAAATCCCTAAATTCATACAGACCCATCTCTCTCATATCAGTCCTAGGTAAACTCCTCGAGCTTCTGCTCAAGGAAAGAATCTGGGAATTTTGTGAAGAGAGAAACATCATACCCCAATCCCAACATGGTTTCAGACCCCACCACTCCACCCAGGACGCAATATCATCCCTTCACACTACCGCTGTCACGGCGGTAAATTCCCAGCACATCTCCTCAGCTGTTCTCCTAGATGTTCAAAAAGCCTTTGACCAAGTCTGGCATGCCGGACTAGTCAAAAAACTTATGAACATAGGTCTCCCCCCCCAAATTTCGAAACTCATACACTCCTACCTCTCAGACAGAAAAATTACAGTCAAAGTGGGCAACTCCTTATCCGAAACATTCACCCCACTAGCAGGAGTCCCACAGGGCTCCGTCCTGGCCCCCCTCCTCTATCTCATTTACACGCACGACATTCCCCCCCCAAACCACCCCACATCCAAATGCCTGCTATACGCAGACGACACAGCTCTAATTTCGGTAGCCAAAAATTCTAACCAACTAAATATTCGAACCCAAAATCTGTTAAACCGGTACTCTCACTGGTGTAGCAGATGGAGGGTCTCATTAAATCCACAGAAAACTCAATTTATCGTCTTCAAACACCCAAATTCCAAAAGAACCTCTCAGAACCCCCAACTCGTAAACGTAAATCTCCTAGGAGTCAGGCTAGCTCAACAGACCGAAGTCGACTATTTGGGGGTACGATTTTCTCGTACTCTTAACTGGTCCTCTGACGTCCAACGCACTCTTGATAAGATGCGAAAGCGAGCCAGTCTCCTTGGAGCTTTGTGCGGGCGAATAGGGCGCTGTAACCCAGATACCCTCATCCATACTTACAATTCCTTCATCCGACCCGTTGCCGAATACAGAGCTATACCCTACGGTGTACTTCCCACACACCTGTCCCACAAACTCACCACACTCGAGAGACGTATCCTCAGACGATGCCAATACCTCCCCTATCGCTCCCCCAGCGGAGAAGTCTTTTTAAACACCCCCAACACCCCCATCCTCACACGTTTCCAGTCCCTCAGGAAACAATACGTCTCTCGCACGCTGAAAGGCACAAACACACACTCCCAAAACACACTTCGCACCCCTTGGCGACCCAACCAACTCCCCCTCTTTCGAAAACCGAAAAGAAAATTGCCGCAGCCGAATCTAAAACTCCTCACAGACGCCCAAGACCTCCCCCTCACCGCTGAACTCCAGGATCTGCTGGAATCAGCCCCGCTGAGTATAAGATAAACCTTCCCAATTTACTTAATTAGAAAATCAAAACACATGTACAATATCGTGGTTTAGGTTTTGTGGTTTTCCTAAATCATATTCCCCACCTCATACATGGACCTGTCCAATTATGAGGTTGGAAATAGCAAAATTGGCGATATTCTTGGGGAACAAACCTGCCACACAGGTCCCACACACACGCGCACAAAATTAGGAATTAGCTAGCTAGGTTACTTTTGTAATCAGGGCAGACCACCCTGAAAAGGAGGATAACTCCTATAGCAGGGAAATAGGAAAACAATATGTCCTAGAAAATGTAATAACACTTAAGATTTCCGCTAATAAATCAAAAAAAAAAAAAAAAAAAAAAAAAAAAAAAAAAAAAAAAAAAAAAAAAAAAAAAAAGGACCCAAACCGATAAGTACCACATTATAAGAAATTTTCATTATTAAAAATACAATTTATACAGGGTGTCCCATTAGTGCGTTATTGTTCATTATTTTGTTGTAGACACGCAAGAAAGTTTTAAAAAAAAGATATGTGGATTTGAAAAATACCTATATATTTTAAAAATATCTTTGGATATACAGGGTGTCACGTTTTTGCCTGGCAAATTAAAATGTATGTTTTTTAAATGGAACACCTTGTATTTTATTTTATGATGAAATTATTAACACCCTAAATTATTGTAAAGACGAATTGCTACAGAAAAATTTAATCAGGTATGTGTGTGGTTACCTTTTAATAAAAGCCTTGCGGATCCACTCCTGCGATACCTGTCTTAAATATAACAAAGATCACTTTGAATTAGATGATTTTTCTTTTTATTGCTTTTTAAAGGCATATGATAACGCCAATTCAGATACATTTGGAAATCTGCAACTGTCAAATGATGAATTTGTAGAACTAATATTCAATATTGAAAACATATTTCAAAATAATTTTAAAGAATTGGCTACAAAAAATAACATTTGTACCACACTTTTAGAATTAATTAACCCAATACCCTTTAGTCATCCATGCTAACGTTTTCCAAAAGAATAACTTATTTTATTGTATGTTTAATCTCAATAACTAAAAAATATACTGACAATTAGTTTGACAGAATTGTCATTTATTTAAAATTTTAAAAATAATAGCAGTCGGTTGATCAAAATATGAACGGTGATTGGCGAATTTATTTTTTTTTGCAGTGTTCTCACTACCTAGAATGGATATGAAATATATTCGTTCAATTGAAGGCAATAGTATACTTTTTCGTTTTGTAATCTGTCCATGGATATTAGCCAATCTACGCACATACTACAAAACGAAAAAGTATGTTATTGCGTTCAACTACGAATATATTTTATATCCATTTTAGGTAGTGAGAACACTTTAACAAAATTAAATCTACAAATCACAGTTCATATTTTGGTCACCCAACTCCTATTATTTAAAAATTTTAAAATAAGTGACAATTCTGTTAAACTAATTGTCAATATATATTTTAGTTATTGATATTAAATATACATTAAAATTTTTGTGTAGACTCGATAAATAATAGCATTTTTGTTTTTATTGTGTCCACATTTAAAAAAAAAATTAATTTTAATCAAACTACATGATACTAATTTAATTACGAGTATTAAAACTAAAGTCCTGAAAGTTTCGGTGAAGATGAGGACAGAGCATCTGCCTTCCACGCGAAAAGCCCCGGATCGAATCTAGGCCGAGGACTAATTAATTTTTCATGTTTTTTTTATTTTATAAATTAGTCAACTTCGTAAATTATTTTAAAATTAGTTATTTTGTCTAAATAACCTAAAATAATTTTTTAAATTTGTAGATTTTCGTTAGTGGGTCGTAGAAAAAATATACTGACCATATTGAGTGGATTGTTCATATCACAATCAGACGATTGAGTACTCGCCTACGATGTCGTGCTCAAACTTCGTCTTTGTGTGATATGGCTATCATATCCACCCTTGTTGAACAAACTACAATTTATTTGTTTTCTTGGTTTAAGTTTTACATCAGAAATAGGAACTAAATTAATTTACTTTTCAAGTTTTCTTGTAAAAATCGATATTACTTTCTCCAAGTACAAATTTAGTACCTACCTAAAATAAGTACTAATTATGTAATATCGTGTAATATTGTAATTCAAATTTCATATTACTATAAAGTTTCAAAATTCCCTACTTCGGTATGGTCAGATAAAAAATGAATATATTATATTAATAAAAACTGTCAAAGTATTACTTCTACAAATCTGTATTTCAATTAATAAGAATACATCTAAATATAACCAATATTGTTAAAATAAAAGCACAAATTCTTTATAATTCCAAAATACCAGAGTTCCCAGACCTCAGTCGAAGCATTCGTTTATCTAGGTATAAACCCTTTGCGCGAAGAGTAACACTTGCCAGAGACACGGGGGTACCACTTGATTTGCATCCACGAGCGTGACACAATTCTTTAACAATTGAAGCCCTTGGTGTAAAAAGGATCCAAGCCACAATTTGTCGTGAAGTGACTGTTTTAGCTCAAAACATTTGTTAACGAGGATTTTACTAGCCACATACAAATTATTTTACCTCTAATCCGAAAGATGTGCTATTTTTCGTAATATTTATATTTAAATAATGTTTCTAATTATATTTGACAGATTTAAAACAAATTAAAACTTTAATTTCCCAAAACTTACTTAATATGGCATGTAACCAACCTTATTACGCCAAGGTTTTCAATTTTTTCAATAATAAAAAAATTGTTTAATCCGGGCCCGACTTTTCCCTCGAATCTAACAGAGATAGCACCATTCCGTCTTGCTTGGTTCTCGACCGCCAGATCAAAGACGCCGACACGGAGTTGTGGAGCTGTATTGTATAAGCTGTGGTTTAAGTATGTGTTTATGTTTATTGTAATTATGATTTTTGTTGTATTGTATTTGATAAATATTATAATAAATATATTTGTTTTTATACCTGAAACATTTTCTTAGAAATAAAATGTAGCCGTGGGCCCAATTTGCAAAGAGATTAACGACATTAATCCGTACCCTTTATAATCTCTTGACCGCCGGCCCAGTTTACATACGTCCAAAATTAGACCATTAAAAGTTTTGTCTTCTAATTTATAAGTTTTTGATTATTTTGAATGTTAGGCTACTAGTGCACTGTTAGGTAATTAGGATACCTTGTTTATATTTAAGTTATTGTGTATATTGATGTAATAATTTGTAATTTAAATTACTGTAAACTGAATGGCTAATAAATTAATAAATTTTTCATTCAATATTGCTTAATTTTCTACATTCTCTGCATCTGTATGGTACGAATTGTAGGTTGCTCTACAGCACTTAAACCTCATTATGCTCATTGTGTATCCTCCTGAATTAATAGGCTCTTCTTAGCTCATCAGCCAGCCTACACATTTGATGTAGTTGAAAACGTCGCCGAGAAATGATTATCTCTAAACTGTTTTTAGTTATTACAAATAACTTTTTATTTTTTCAAAATTTTGAAAAAAATTTTATTATAAAATCTAATTTTGAATAAGGAAACAACCAAGGCCAATATTTGAGCACTCTAACAGATACAGCAGTCTGTCGGTTATTATTATTAAGTTAATATTGTTTTAGAACTATTTTATTACCAAATTCTGAAAATTTTCAAAAATTAATCAAGACTATTTGGAAACTCCTCAAAGTACAGTTAAACATCATTAAATATAAATAATCTCCATATCAAAACTCACATTACAAAACACTAAACTTCCATTTTCATTTGGATAAAAATCAGACTTCCATAATATAATATGGCCTTTTATTGTACCTCCATAGCCACTACCCACTTTAAGTAATCCTCTGGTGGTAAAAAGATACAAATATTGACCATCATAAGCTAAAGATTTAACTTTTAACTGAGTGTTGATTAGCTCACTTGGAAATTTAATATGAAACGAGTTAATTTTTGCTGCATTAGGTACTCCATGTGTTATCCAATCCGGTCTGACAGTTTTACCTAATAATACACCATGTACACTTTTCTGAAGAGATGAAAGGACAGCAGGCATCTACAAGTTAAATATGATAATTACTAATTCAATATTAAAAAGACTCTATAATGTTTTTAATTTAATTCTCAAAATGTTTTGCTTGAAATTTACCTGAATATTTTGTAAAGATAAAGCTCTTGGGCACATTAATAAAGCAGCCGAGGCAGACAGATACTTTCCAGTATCACCTCTAACAACAACTAATGATAATAAGCAAGCACAAGCAACTGCTGTGAAGTGAGTTCCATCATTTGGAACAGAACTCTCAGGCCCATGGAGAGTGGCCAAGTCTAACAATAATTCAAATAAAGAATCAATAACATCTGGTGGTTCACATTTCAAAGCTTCAGGTGCCTGTCCTTGTAGAACATCTAATAGAGCTATTAAAGCTTTGGTGCACAATACTGGATGTGTTATTCGACTTTCTTTTATTAATTCAAAAACGGATCTTAAACCTAAACTGACTATTTTGGAAACTTTTATGGCAGTGTAACAAGTACTTTGTGAATTATCCTCTGTATCACTTTCTATTTCGCTCTGATCTTGGCTTGGAGCACTGCAGCTACTATTCAAATACTCCTGACTAGCTTGTTTCATCCATCTGTCAAGAACTGCCAGTCTAATTGAAGCAAAAACAGCAAATGCAGATGCATTTCCTGGAAGTTCTATTTCTGGGGCTAGCTGTAAATCATTTTCGGTTTGGGAATCAAATTTATTTTTCTGTTTGTAGCGAGCTTTTATAGATTTCTTTTTTAACCTTTTCCATTCCAATCTTTTTCTAGAATAGTAAATTGTATTAAGAAGGTATTAAATAAGTTTAAAATACATACTTAGCATGTTCTGGAAGCACTTTATAAGCTTCATGAAATATTATATTAAAGTCTTCAGGATCCGGTAACATTTCAAAGAGAATAAAATGATTTTTATTCTCTAGTTTTGTACATAACTTTATTGATTTTCTCAATAATGTGTCATCATTTTCTCCCTTAAAATCAATACAAACTTAAAAAAATTCTAAGTCAACAGGCAATTAAATAAACCAATGGTTTGCTGTTTTTTTTATTCTCTAAAAAATTTATTTAATATTTTCAAAAGTAATTACTACTACACCGGTATTTAAATTCTTTTTAAATTTAAATAATTTTGTTCAAAATATTGACAATGACACTTCTTTTTATGATAGATAAATTTCCAAAGGTGCCTCTTCCTTAGCATGCAGTCAGTCCGTTGCTCATGCTTAGACAGAATCGGCCTGGCGCAAAAGCATTTCAATTTGAAATTTTTTAAAAGGAATTTCCAAAAAAATATTTACGCGCTATTTTGTATTAAATCTATGAAAATTTGTTACTTTAAGTTTTATTAAATATCTAGTCGTTTTTAAATGAAAGGATTTCTCACTTTTTTTTCTTAAACGTCTCTATATTAGATATTTATTATGCAAGCCAAATAATAGTTTGTGCAACAAGAGTTGATAGATAAAGATGACCAAATTACACTGAGACCTACTTTGTTCACAACGCCACATAGGCGGAGTGCGATACGAAGAAACCACTAGAAATTAATATTATATTTTTTGTACCAATCACTGGAGAAAATTTACATTTTTAGTAAGTAATTTAAAGGTTATTAATATAAAATAACAATTTTAAATGTGTCTATATGGTTTGCCTTTAGGCATTTTTTTTTTTCATTTTTTGCGGTATTTGGCCAATAATCCTTTTATCTTTTACATTTTTTCACCGCTCTAAACCTTCTCTTGTTTAGTTTCCCTGGGCTTGAATGCATCTTCATAGCGGCTATAACTTACCTCCGTGGCGACGCTAATATTTTCCTAGTAATCACTGGGAATGTTAGCACAGTCCACAAATGTGTGGTTGGCTTCTTGAGTGATCTCCTATTGATTTGATTTCATCGCTAGTTCCATTCTCTTTTGAACTTGGCTGCACCGTACTGATGAAGACTAATAGTCAGAAACACGTGTCTATACGGTTTGCCTTTGGGCATTTTTTTTTTTATTTTTTGCGGTATTTGCCCAATAATCCTTTTATCTTTTACATTTTTTCACCGCACTAAACCTTCTCTTGTTTATGTTTTATATTTTATTACTTCTGTTGGCAATTACGATTTAAAAATTCCAACAATCATGTTTGGGCAGTAGAAAATCAGCATGCCGTAAGAAGATCTAATTTCCAACATAGATTTTCATTAAATGTTTGGGCTGGTGTTGTAAATGGCATGCTTATTGGACCATACTTTTTTCCACCTCGGCTAACCGGTGACATTTATTTAGATTTTCTTCGACACCACCTACCAGAATTATTAGAAGATGTTCCACTGAATGTTAGCCAGGATATGTGGTTTCTACATGACGGAGCTCCACCGCATTTCAGAAGAGGAGTTCGTGAATATTTGAATGCACAGTTTCCGAATAGATGGATAGGGAGGAATAAACCCGTTTCTTGGCCTGTACGCTCCCCGGACCTAAAGCCTTGTGATTTTTTTCTGTGGGGTTATTTAAAACAGTTGGTGTATCATGATGGAGAAGTAAATACTGTGGAAAAACTTCAAGACCGCATTGTAGATGCTTGTGATGTTATTCGCGGACATCCGGATTTTATTTTTGAGGCCTGTCAGGAGTCGTGGGTACGCCGAGCAAGACTATGCATTAATCGGACAGATTGTGACAATTTTGAACAATTTTTGTAAAAAAAAATGGAATACATTTTACCGAAAATTAATGTTTTTAATTTTAAAAAACCTATAACTCCTTTATTGCACTTTTATTTAGGTGATTTTTGGTATATCGACTTCTTTTGACGAGTTCTACAAGCTGTTAAAATAAATGACTCAACTTTAAAAACACCTTGTATATCAAAATCAGAAATATAAATAAATAAAGTGTTTACATACACTTATATAACCACCATAATATAAATAATCCATTTATCACCATTATTTTAAGTGTTAAACGGTTTTTAAGCAGGAAGTTTTTCTACTTTAATTTAAAAAATTATTCATCTTGTACAGTTGTTTTCCAAAAAAAAGTTGGTATTGTACTTTGGTAGGCACAAATCTCGAAGTATTTGTTTTCACCTTTGAGGTTCGGGGATGGTCTTGATAATTTATAGGGGGATTTTTGAGATTTATTTTCGAATTTTAAAATTATTCGACAAATATCTTAGTTACGCCACTGGAAACACCTGTGTAATGATTAGTGAACAAATAACAAATAGAGTAGAAGCTGAAACTTCGAGACAAACAGTAGATATAATGATAGAAATAAGGGACTTAAGGGAGAGAAGAAGTAAGGTTAGGTTATTATTGTTGTTGTTATTTTGTTATCAAAATCGATTATTATGTCTGGGAATGGGACGGGACTTTGTATTGTTTTCACATTCTTTGTTTACTTTTAACTTTAAAAATTGGATAGTGATAATATAAAAAATGTTTTTTTAAGCATTATCAATCAGTCAGAATGTTGCTTTCTCGATTAAGACTTGTTACATTTGATGTAACAGACACATTATTAAAATTTAAGTTATCCCCAGGGCAGCAATACGGGGAGATTGGTGCATTGTATGGAATTACCTGTGATAGAAAAGAATTGAGTAAGAATTTTAAAAAACAATGGCACAAAATGAACTTAGTCCATCCCAATTTTGGATGTCATACTGGATTGGGTTGGGAGAAATGGTGGAAAATGATAGTTATAGAAACTTTTAAAGATACTAAAGTAAATGTTGAAGATAAAAAATTGAACGAAATTGCTTGTCATTTGATAGATCTGTATAAAATTTCTGATTGTTGGAAAGTATGCGAAGGAGTAAATGGACTTTTATCCTACATAAGAAGTAAAAGTAATTATTTTTTATTATATGCTCATTTTTTCTAAATAGCTTTATTTAAATGATATAAAAATAGTTTTATTTAAATCAAAATACATCGCTAAGTCGCTATTTTGATTACACTTTTTAACCGACTTCAAAAAAGGAGGAGGTTCTCAATTCCTTATAATATTTTTTTTTATGTATGTTCAGGGATAATTCTTTAACACGGTACCCCATTTCAATGATTCTTTTTTTGTTAGAAAGGGGGTACTTCAGGGGTGGTATCATATAAATTTGGTCAAAATTTAATAACTGGGTCCATGAGAAAATCCTCATTCTTCATTTTTTGTGTATGTTTAGTGATAATTCTTTACCACCTTGTCCGATTTATATGATTCTTTTTTTGTTAGTAAGGGGGTACCTCAGGGGTGGTCCCATATAAATTTGGTTAAGATGTGGTGATGGCATCTGCACATTTAATTTTTAATTTCTAATACTTGTCCATCACTCTTGGCACTGCTAAGTGTGTCTATCTGTCATGCAAAATAGTGTTTATGTTGTCTTTACTTTATTCTATCTCGGTGATTGTAACAGTTATTTAATGAAAATGAAACTTTTTATTTAATATATTTAAATGTAGCATAAATATAGTTTTAGTGGATGATTCCAAATTAACAAATTGTGGTGTCTACTGAGTAATAAAAACTCATAAAGATTAATATAATTAAAAAAAGTTTATTTTTAGGAGTCCCAATGGGTATTATATCAAATTTTGATCCCAGACTTACTACCACATTGACCAACATAAAATTAAGGCATTACTTTAACTTTATCTTAACTTCATATGAAGCAGGATTTGAAAAACCAGACGAAAAAATTTTTCTGCAAGCCATGAATTCATCAAAATTAAAACAGTTAAAACCTGGAGAGTGTTTACATGTTGGAGATCAAATATCTTTAGATTACAATGGTGCTAAAAATTCTGGATGGAATGCAATTTTAATTAATAATACTCAAGAACAGTGCCCGAATATTGACCCAACTCATGTGTTTGATAGTTTATTTGGATTACACAAACATTTTGTTCAAACTTCTAGTGAAAAATTGGTTTCTCATACATTGTAGGGACCATTTATGTATCTATACTCTATAAACTCTCCTGCCAAATGAAAACTATTTCTGGAAATGATTTTATATCCATTTAAGCAAAATCATCTTATACTAAAAGTCTCTTAGAAAGCTGCTATGGCATTCGGTTGGAGAATGAATATAAAGGAACTAAAAGTATATTGTTTCAAATTCAAATTATTCTTGGAAAAGCATTAAAATTTGACAAAGCATGTCAAAAACTTGAAAAAAAAATGTTTATTGGTTCTCCAAGTGAAATGCTTGTGATTTAAAGTGGTCAGTTTGTTATTAGATGCTTAGTTACTGTGCCAAATTTGAACTTTTTTGAAATAGGATACATTTTTGAGCGAATGTAATTTAGGTTAAGATCAGCATACAATCACATCTATTAAATGGGGTTTCCATTTGGTAAAAGAGGTTTTGGACATTGTGAATACCTTGAAAGCCATGAATTTGTTTAATTTTCAAATATTTATTCCCATTCTGCTAAACCACAAATTATTTTTTTTCACATATAAGCTCTTTGTCTAATGTACTGTACTTTATTTATTATATTATGTTGTAATTTTTATTTTGTGATATAATGGATAATCCTACTCAAAAAATATATATAGATTTTATTTCTCTGAAATTTTCGAGTTAAAATAATGTTTAATACAACATAAAATTTGTTAAAAAATAAAAAATTATTGAAAAATTAAAAAAATTATTTTATTAATTGCTTTTAATTTTAGTTCCAAATGAATTTGAAACTACAGAAGATGAAGACCTAAGATTTGGTAGACATTTTTTAAATAAATCATAGGCAACTGCTGACGCTAATATCAATAATGCAACTTTAAAAACAATCAAAATAAAAGTTTAAACAATTATAAAAAAAATAACATTACTTCTTGTGAAGTGTATTAAAACCAATTACAATTACGTTGAAACAAATTCTGGGTCCCGTCGACTTTAGGGACAGTGGAATTTTAAAGAAATTTATTTTTATTTTTAAATAGTACATTTAAAAAAAAATTGCCGTAAATGCATTATTTAAACCAAAAAAAATTATTTAATTTCTATAAAAATCAGCATTTTGACGACTGTAAACATCGAAACTCGATGGTTTCTGTCAAGTCAAATTTGGAAAATATAATTGCAACGTTGCCGGATTGTGAGAAAATTAGTAGTTAATGGAAAATTGTGATTGCGCATGCCGGTCCATAAATATGCAATAAGAAAAAGAAGCCACGACTTATCGTAGGGTGGCGGCTTCGCCGCCACCAAAAAACATTAACCCATACCTGGCTACGCCGACTGGCATAGACTCCAACGGCATCTAGCCTGAAGCTATTGAAAATACAGCCACTGTCATTCTTGTTATGTACGTTTTTTTACTATGTTTGACAACACCACATTTATAAAAATAAAAATGTTAGTTGTCATATTATTCATAAACAAAAAATAATATAGAACGGTATTACCATAAATATATTTATTTAGAACAAAAAGCAATTGGCAACATCGCTAAAATCACGCACAGGCGCTCTTAGTGTGACTCTCATCGAAAAAATTAAAAACAATATGGCTACGTGAGAATGTCGTGAATAAATGCATATTCTTAATTTTTTAACTTACAAATGTGTTTTAATAATATTTGTTGCTTTAATTAGGTTAGTGCACACATATAGAAGATTAAAAAGTGTAAAAATATTGTGGCTTTACTTAATCTTTATGGAAAAAGTGAAAAAATTACTGTCCCTAATATCGACGGTAGCCCCAATTCTCAAATCGATATAAAAACGAAGAAAATTGAGAAATAAAATACAAGCCGAAATTTCAAATTATATACGCCGTAATATTGTCTACCTTCTTTACCGATGATTTTAGTTCCCGCTACATACTTTGATTTTCTTTACTATACAGTGCAAGAGAGAAGTCCGACACGCCCAATATAGGGTGCGGCCATTTTGATTCCTATGCCACAGTTTATAGCTAAAGAATCAGATCGCTCAATCTGCGTCGGCACTTTTGATCTCAATGTTCCAGTTTATACACTGCGCAACTAGGATAATACAATATATGACAACCGCCTATAATAAAACAGCAGTCTTCTGCGTATCCTGAATTTGTATCCCTGAAGTGGATGTTATTTTGGAACTTTCAACTGGTCCGAGTGAGCTAACTGATTCTTTAGCAATAAACTGTGACTCCAAAAATAATATTCACTGACAGCAGCAAGCAAAATATCAGGTGCGTTTTAATCGTCCGCTTCTGCTTCCGGAATTGTCGGTTTAGTCGTTTTAACCTGTCAGATTAAAACAAGAAAACCGACAATTCCGAAGCAGAAATGGATGATTAAAACGCACCTATTAAAAATATTGCGCCAAGATGTAGGCAACACGTAATAAGGGATCAAAATGGCGGACTTTTCTATCTTCTTTTTAACCGACTTCAAAAAAGGAGGAGGTTCTCAATTTGTCGCGATATTTTTTTTTTTTTGTATGTTCAGCACATACTTTGATTACTATACGAGGCAAGAGAGAGGTCCGACACGCCCAACATAGGGCGCAACCATTTTGAACCCTGTGACACAGTTTACAGCTAAAGAATCAGATCGCTCACTCTGCGTCGGCACTTTGGATCTCAATGTTTCAGTTTATACACTGTGCAACTCGGATAATACAATATATGACAACCGCCTATAATAAAACAACAGTCTTCTGCGTATCCTGAATTTTTATCCCTGGAGTGGATGTTATTTTGGAACTTTCAACTGGTTCGAGTGAGCTAACTGATTCTTTAGCAATAAACTGTGACTTCAAAAATAATAGTCGTTTTCTTTTTACAACTAATCTGAGCTAACTTACATCGACTAAGCTGAGATGTACGTTCTTTTTATGATTGTAAGTCAGAATCTTTCTTCCCCCCTTACCGATGGTAAGGTGCACGGTACTTACGTCAACCATAAACCATCACAGAAAGTGAGTGTTCTGTGCATCATATGAACAAACATATCCCATGAATTCATTATTTTAGAGAGAATAAAAGACTATGATAACAGGGGGTGAGATTTGTAGTGTTGAATGTTGAAAAAATTATAAAATTTGATTAAAATATGGATTGTTTTTAAACGGATGACATGGGGCACGTCACCTGTCAACCAAAATTCGCGTTCTTTTTACAGTTAGCTTAGATCAGAATCTAACTTTTAGTTAGTCAAGTATGCTTGTAAAAAGAAAACGACTAATATTCACTGACAGCAGCAAGCAAAATATCAGGTGCGTTTTAATCATCCGCTTCTGCTTCCGGAATTGTCGGTTTAGTCGTTTTAACCTGTCAGATTAAAACAAGAAAACGGTCAAGAGAACAATTGTTATTACCACAACACCGACTAACATTAACTGATAAAAGCTTTATATGCAACTCTATTAAACTGTATAATAAACTTCCCCCACAGTTTAAGCTTTTTAATGAATATAAATTAAAAAAAAAAGATCAAGGAATTAATAAATTATCTAGCAGTTTATTCAATCAAAGAATTTTATGAGGTTGATTTAAGTAATTTTGCAAAACGAAAAATTTCTTAACTAAAATGTCAAGTTGACGTCACCAAATTGTTTTCTATATAAATATAAAATGTAATGTATATATAAATTTTATTGTTTTCTGATATTTGACGATGCTAAAAACTGCTGTGAGTTTATTTAAGCAAATAAAGTATATTCTATTCTAAGAGAAAACGAAGAAATTCCATTAATGAGCCGTGAAACTTTACGAAAAATTTTATGGGGCCTAAAATTTCGTTTTGTCAAACGGTGTAGGAAATCAATTTTAATTGAGGTCAGATATAGTGTCCTGGCGATGGCGTTATTTACGAAATAATAAAGAGTTTAGAGCCGCTAAAAAAAAGATATACTATCTCGATGAAACGTGGGTGAATGCTGGACACACGGTATCTAAGATATGGCAAGATAATTCTGTAACTATTCATCGCCAAGCTTTTATAGATGGATTATCTACAGGTTTGAAAGCAGCGCCTAATTGTTACCCATATCGGAAGTTACAGTGGATTTTTGGAAAATAGCGCTCTTGTGTTAATATCGAAAAAACAGGAGATTACCACGAGGACATGAATGCGGAATGCTTTGAAAAATGGTTTACTGAAGTATTACAGCGTGTAAAACTAAATTCAGTTATTGTACTAGATAACGCTTCCTATCACAGTCGACGAGTTGAACGCATTCCGATAATGTCCAGTAGGAAAGCGGATATGCAAACCTGGCTGCGGGATAAAGCAATAACATTTACTGAGGAGATGCTTTAAGTGGAATTAATGGACCTAATAAAGGAACACCACCATAAATATATTCAATATGTTGTCGACACAATGGCTCGTGATCGTGGTATTACGATATTAAGACTTCCCCCTTATCACTGCGAATTCAATCCTATTGAACTAATTTGGGCGCAAGTCAAAGGTTTGTAGCTCGAGAAAATAAAACTTTTAAAATAGCCGACGTTCTAAGTTTATTAAAAACCGGTATAGAACGTATAAAACCCGAAGATTGGCAGAATGCTATTTCACATGTAATTAAGGAAGAAAATATGTGGCGCTTAGACGGTATGATCGAAACGGTAGTTGAACCTTTAGTCATAACTTTAAGTTCCGACGATAAAGACGATTCCAGTGATAGTTCTGCAGAATCAATGGATTACGAAACTTCATAGATTTAGAATTCAAGTAAGTGATACCAAGCTTAATTTACATATTTTTATAATAAACAAAATACAATTATAAACATAGATGAATTATTATAACAAAAATAGATAACCAACCTACTTTCATCTAGTAATATTCACAACTACCCATTTAATTTGCCAATACAGTATTTCTGCGACACTGGAAGAGTGCATTTTGATATGATAACGATACCTTTTGCAGTTTTACGGCGCACCTTCTTCAATATTTTGTTCTAGTATAATACCCAATTTAATTTTTGAATAGTGTTTCTACGCCACTGGCATAATATTTACATATTTTAAAAATAAAAAAAAACAAAATTAGAAACATAAATGATTATTACTACAAAAATCTGATGTGTCCAACACATGACTTTCCTATCTAGTTATTATAGGCATTTTCCGGTTATTTTGTACAACCTATTGCAGCATCTCTATAAATGATTAGAGGATAAACTAAATATATACATTTTACACATACATCTACCTCGAAACATTTTTCTATAGAAATTTAGCACTTTTCCATTACGGTCCATTTTACAAAAATCATGTATAAACAAAAATTATAGAAATCGATATCGCAAACAACTTTTAGTTCAACAATTTTCATAAAAATCAGAATTTTGCACATTTTGTCAAATTTCTCGAATACGGACCATTTCAGGAAATTTTGACATGGAACAAAAATTATAGATAATAATATTAGAAGTAACTTTTATTTGAACAATTTTCTTCTCCAAACATAAATAACAGATATATTCCATAAAATATAAAAACGGCCTCCCATAAAGTACCCCC